TAAAATAATTTTATTCTTTGGGTGAAGAATAAAAAGTTAGCATAAGAAAGTAAGGAGTAGAAACAGCAAACTGGAAAATATTAGTCTAAATAAATGTGTTGAAAAATAATAGCAATCCCTTATCACTGTCACCACTAAAATAAGATCTCCTGTCCTCCCACTCTACTACTCAATTAAAGTTTTTCCATAATCCCAAAATCTTAAATAGGACTCACCAACCTTATAAAATGTAGTTATTTTGCATCATAGATCTAAAACCTCCAAAATTTCTTATTCTTACCACTCCTTCCAGCAGAGAGAAAGTCAACTCTGCCCCTAGTAATACCTCCCCCTTGACATTTGGGGAGCTCTGGTCTCCAGGCCAAAGTCTGCTCTCAGTTGTGTCGGCAGAATTTGGGCCTCTTTTCCCTGTTAATGTGGCTGCTTGATGCTGAGTTCCCTCAATTCTAAGTCTGAGGTTCAACATTGGCAATTTTGTCCTTTATTGGTTCTACTCATATTGTGCTAGATCCTGTTCCCATTCAAGTCACAGGCAAAACTCTGATTAACGTCAGTGCTGAAGGATCAAGCCTAAACACAGAGTCTATGGAATCATTACAAGCATACAAATGCTATGTATTACACAGATATCAATTACTGCCAGTGCAACAGCCTGTGGATCTTCTGTGCTGCTTCTCCATCTATTTTGGCAATGGCATCATGAAAATTAATAGTATTAGTCTTTCCTACAACTTCCCTGTGTCACATTTATTCCATTCATGTTATGTGGTGTTTCCCTTTTGGGAAAGTGGAATTGTGTGGAAGATCATTTTTTTCTTTAGTAAAAATTGTAAGATGGCAGATTAGTCTGATATGGAACATGTACTTTTTAAGAGCAGTCTCATGGGTTTCTTCTGCATTCACAGCACTGCCAATATTTTATGGAGCATTTCTTTGGACTATCTAAAAGCAGAGCCTAGTGCCTCTAGTCAGCCCAGCGCAACTTTCTCCACACTTCTTTACAAGTTAAAAGAACATTATTAAGTTTGAAAAGTCTAGCATTCAAAAGTTAGGAAACACCAGAATTCAGATGGTATGTGAAACCTTAATTAACTCCCCTTGTGTTTATGCATTACAATACAGACTTTAATTGCATGATGGCATACTATTTTTTCAGTGCACAGAGTGGAAGGTGCTCAATTAATGAACAGCTATTTAATATTTTGTTTTCTCAGCATTTGTTCGGAGTGTAGCCACAGGGGTTATTTACTGCACAGCGTTCTCTCCTCTCCCACCAGCCTCCTTGCCCAGTCTCCCCTCTGGCTCCTGCCCCCATGAAGTCTAGCTCTTGTGAATTCTGAATTCAAACCAGCACAGGTTGACAAGCTCCTTACTCTCAGTTCTGTTGCCAGACCTCAGCCCAGCCAACAGGAGGCCAGAGCTGCAATTATAGGCAGAATTCTACTCAGCCCCTGGCTGGAGCATGCCCGGTGCGGACAGAATCGTTTGGGGATTTAGCGACTAAAAATCTAAGCATGTTCTACTGAGCACGCGAAAACTGAAAGAGCCTGTTAATTTGGGCAAATTTGGACTGATTTTCACAAGGAAAGCAAGAGGCAAGCCCTTGACACACAAGTCCCCCTGCTACCACATTTCAAGCCCCAGCTCCAAAGTCAGGGGATCCTAGCACATTTTTTTTCAAAGAAAATATCAAAGTTTTTCAATATGGGCAAAACAATCCTTTTTCCTTAGTCTTGTTCTTGGAAGTGGCTGAACCATTGTGGCTGAAGGTTTTTGGAAAAAAAAAAAAAATCAGCCTGCAGAAGAAACCAGCATGGAAAATTTCAGCCCAAATAGTTAGTTTGGCAAAGTTATGGGCAAATGAAACAGAGCCTTATAATAGGAAGTGACTCAGCCCCACCTGTAATTTATATAGTGTTGTATTTACACACTTACAGTATTCTGCAAACAATCTTCCAATGGGTCATGGACAGATTTTGTTAGCAAAGACCAACAGAGGGAATGGATTTTATATTTTCCTTCTCTTTCTATTCAAACTTCCTCCTTTCATGCTGCTGCTGAAATTAATAGGACCTCTGCCACAGGCTTCATCACAAGCAGACTCTAGGATGGCATTAGATCCTCAGTCAAAAAGAGGAAACAACTTCAGAAATCAACAAGAGAGGCATCTAGAAAACTAGGTACAAAACTTATAAGAACAGTATATCTTAATCTTTTAAATAAGGCCATTTATCCCAGCTTCTGTTATTAGGAACAGTTAATGGGCATCATGTGTCTGCACTGAATACAATTAAAAATACAAAAAAAAAAGCACTCTTCTGAGCCAAATAATTTCCACCTTTCTGCATCTCTGCATGTGTTTTGAGATTTAGTATTTCCCTATGAACATTTAAAGCATGGGATTAACGGGAGAAAATGCTTTTTTCAATGTTATAATTAATGTAATTATATTAAAAGAAGTGGAGCACAATGGAGAATTGCAGCAGTGCAAAGGACCTGTTACCGCATTGGTATTTTCATTTTAAAGCTGATTTTCAGTTATAGTTTAACAGTATGGTACTTGCTTACATGCTGAAAAACTTGACTAAAATGTTGTCCCAAACACATCTGTGTTAGCAAATTTACTTTTGCTTTTGATAAATTCTTTTAGTAAATTGGCTTTTTTAAAAAAAATTATAGAAAGATAAGAGAGCACGTTGGGTTGTTTTGTGCATTACTAGTTCTACCAATTATTAGTATTGCCCATAGTCCTCAGCTTGTTTAAAAAATATCCTTGCCTCATTGAAGTCAATAGCAAATATCCCATTTACTTCCATGATGCCAGGAATTCATCCCTTATAATCAATAATCTGCCACAATTTCTTTTATCTGAATTTCGGTTCCATGTTTTGCTTGTCATTGTTTTTAATTTGCAATGTGATTGTAGAGTTGTTGGTCCCAGAGAGACAAGGTGGGTGAGGTGATACGTTTTATTGGACCAACTTCTGTTCGTGAAAAGACAAGCTTTCCAGCTTCTACAGAGCTTTTCTTTTGGACAATAGGTGTTCTTCTGGACAATGAACACCTATTACTGTAGGTTTTGTAAATTACTGATTGTGACCTAGGGACCTCTTGATACCAACTATTAGCAGTGCATTAGGGTTACAGGGATCCCCTGGGTCTGGAATTTACATTCTAGTTCACGAAAGAGTGTCACATAAGGTCTCTAATGAAAGCCTGTGTCACACTGGTCATCTTAATGATTGAGAGATGTATGTAAAGGTGATATGTAAAGAGTTACATATGTACAAAAATTATGTTCTTAAAGCAAGTAAGGTGACCTGTTTTAGAATGGCTCCACTAGACAGGAGGTAAGAAATGTTTAGCTGTCTGGCTACATGAAAGTGAAGTATTGTAAGCTTTACAGTGGCGACACATTTACATACTGAGTCAAATGCTAATAGAGGGATGTGAAATCAATGAAAAAAGCACACAGGAAAAAATGAGCTGTGCAGAATGATATCCTGTTCTCAAACTAAAATGATGGTTTGAGAGACTATATCTAGGAGGTACAGAGGAACCTCCAGTGATTACTTCAGTCTGTGAAGACAAGCTGCCAGCGGGCTTGATCTCAGAAGCAAGGGTCTCAACTAAATTGGTTGAAAATGCTGGGGAAAGGACTTGGGGTAAGCTGTCTTGTAGGAAATGGGGGAATACCCTGTTAGTCGCTAGAAAACATGTTATGATTTTGTTTTATATGTAACCATTTGTTACCAATATTCTGACTCTCTATCACTTGAATTTCTGTTTGATAATAAACTTATTGTTTTCACTATATCTAAGTGTTGTGTGTGAAGTAAAGTGGTGATACCGAGTGGAGTTTTACAACCTGGTGGACACTATTCCTTTGGGATTAGCAGAACTAAGAGTTCTGTGTGTGCTCAGTAGACCAGGGATTGAGCACTCTAGAGGGAAGATAGTCTCTATATTTGCAATAAGACCTCACGTGACCTACAGTGTATGACGTAAATATCTCATGAGAATAATAATCTTCATACTTGCAATATAGAAGCAAATAAACATGTAGATTGACTAGTTTTAAAAACGCATGAGGATAAACTAGTTCAATATAAACTCATACATTTGTAAAATACTTGAAGGATTATGAGGTGCTCAGATGCTACAGCAATGGATGCTGTTTAAGTACCTAAAATAGATTGATTCTGATTTATCTGCTTGATTGCGGGCCCTATCCAAAGCCTATTAAAAAGTCAACAGTATCTTTTCAGTGACTTCTCTTTGCTGCTGCATCTGCTTTGCTTACCTTTAGATTGATGCCACGTACTCTTACTCCTGATTGCTCTGTGTTCCATGTGGAAGATCTTTAAACTATCTTTGTCAGGATGAAAAATTGGATTTGGATTTTTTTAGTTTTTTAGAAACTCTTTACTTGAGAAATACCAGAAGGATGACTTCTCTAAATATTAATACAATTGCAATATTGTAGCTGGAGTCTTTAAAATTTATTAAGGTAATATCATCCAAGAAAGGCTTGAGATACAAACAGGAAAACAGATTTAAGTTTCAGAAGTAGAAAAGTTTGGGGATAATATAAGGAAAAGCAATGGAGTTAAATGTGAAAAGTGAATGAGAGTTTTAAATGGCACCATGAGAGTCATCGTATTATTTATGCTCATTTTTCTAGCGAGACTATTTTAATAAGACATGAATTCTGGATCTGTCCGAGTAGGAGAACCCAAGTAAATGACATAATAAACATAGAATTTTTATGGTAACGAAACCCAATAAAACCTTTGTTTTAAAGGTACACCATAGAATTGAACCATTTCCTCTTTAAAGAAAAATAAGTGTCTTATTTCTGATACATGAAAATAAAGTTTGGTGTTAATAGAAATTAGTTTTCCTCTGAGACTGGCTGTTAAAAATATGGAGAGACACAAAGGAAGAAAGAACAAAAGAAAAAAGAGAAATAAATATTTTTTTCCATATTTATTTTGCAGGAAATATATTTGTTGTAAGCCTGGCCATTGCAGACTTGGTAGTGGCGATCTACCCATACCCACTGGTCCTGACATCTGTATTTCATAATGGATGGAATCTGGGCTACCTCCATTGCCAAATTAGTGGTTTCCTGATGGGCCTAAGTGTTATTGGATCAATATTCAACATTACAGGCATTGCTATTAATCGATATTGCTACATCTGCCACAGCCTCAAGTATGACAAGCTGTATAGTGACAAGAATGCTCTGTGCTACGTCATTCTCATCTGGATCCTGACATTTGTTGCTATTGTTCCCAATCTGTTTGTTGGATCGCTACAATATGATCCGCGGATCTACTCGTGCACATTTGCACAATCCGTGAGCTCACCGTATACAATAGCAGTGGTGTTTTTCCATTTCATGCTTCCCATAGCCATAGTTACTTTCTGTTACTTGAGAATATGGATCCTTGTTATTCAGGTAAGGCGAAGGGTTAAACCTGACAACAAGCCCAGGCTGAAGCCACATGACTTTAGGAACTTTGTCACCATGTTTGTGGTATTTGTACTGTTTGCAATCTGCTGGGCTCCTTTGAACTTCATAGGCCTGGCTGTGGCTGTTGACCCAGACACAATAATCCCCAGGATTCCAGAGTGGTTGTTTGTATCCAGTTACTACATGGCATATTTCAACAGCTGCCTTAATGCTATCATATATGGACTCCTGAACCAGAATTTCAGAAGAGAATACAAGAGAATTATTGTCACAATTTGTACAGCAAAGGTTTTCTTTCAGGATAGTTCTAACGATGCAGCAGATAGGATGAAAACCAAACCCTCACCACTGATTACGAACAACAATCAAGTGAAGGTAGACTCTGTGTGAAAATGGGAGCCTCACCATTGCCGATCTACAACATTCAAACACTAGCTCTGTTTTATTAGCCACACAGTTGAAGTGCTGTAGTGAAATACTAGTCCTATATGAAAGGTATTTGGACAATGTTCTGTGTACAGTATTTGTGAGCCAAAGTAACATAGCCTTGACATAAAGAGCCTCCTGTTGTACAACATATCTTTCAAATAATGACTCTCATATGCTTAAAGTATTACAGGGTTACAGACATTTTTTTTAATTTTCTGTTTAACATAGATAATTGAAGATGGATTGGAACTGAACTGGCATAATAACTAATTATTTGAAAAAGCATCATCAACCTCCAGCTGGACTCCCTAAATTGCAAGGCAGGTTATGGTACTGATCTTGACACCCTTAACAACTTCTGTTAAAGGAAAAATGGGAGCTATTCATTCCAGTGTGAGGGAACATGAAAAGACGAGGGAGAATACTTGAAATGCTTCACTAAGAATCTCAGTCTATATATTTAAGTTCCTACAGTAGTCATAACTTTGTGGCAAGTAAGCCTCACCACTCCTTTCAGGTAACTACACCGCCCTTGTTGAGTCCTCCTCTTTAAAACTGTTTTTAGGAGGAGAAATATTCATGTCTGATTATCTCAAAAGCTACATGGGCCTATAGAACAACTAGGGGCATGCTGGGGGTGGCAGGGAGCACACATGGGTTCATCAGGAGCTCAAAGCGCACAGGGTGATTTTGACGTATGGGAACTTCCAACTTCCCTAATGTCCAGGAGAAATACAAATGGGAGAAGCCTGGAAGCCACCCAAAAGGAGAGAATGGGGGAGATATCCTCTGGAGATAGCAGAGAGAAGTGCCTGTTGCTCCTCCATGACCATTCCATAGTATGTTTTAGGAATTGCCAGACACTGGGCCTCTCCTCAGGAAGCCAAATGCACTTAAGAGGGGCATCTGAGAGGAATGGGAGTTTGTTTGGAGAAGGACAGGGCCTCTGTGGGTTCTGAATGCTTAGCTGAACTCTCAACCACATGAAGCCTGGAGGATTGAGATAATCATATCAAATTCACGTACTGCTTCCCAAAATGAGCACGTGACCCTGTTCTAACCCCTGGAAGCCTCTAGAGCTCTGTCTCCTTCTCAAAATTGTCCAAAAAAGCTTTTTGAAATGTTGGTATCTAAACATCTCATCCATAGTTACCAGTGATGAAAATGGTATAAAAGCCTAGAGAGATTAACAGACCAGAATAACAGAAGAGAAAAGAGAAGACACCGCTACCCTGTGGTAGAGGGACAAAGGATGGTCCAATACTTAGAACCATCTATGTGGCCTACCCATTGATGTGTTCCATGCATGGGCAAGAGATGAAGAGGGTGGGGAAGGGAGGAAGTGCAGCTAGGCAGGCCCTGGCCTTCTACAGTGAATCTCGTTTAGTGAAAACTTTTTTTTTTTTTTTTTTTTAAACACAAGAATAGGTTTCAGCTTTTTCAGTTAATGGGCTGAGATCCTTTCAAACACTATGCAAGGACTGTTCTCTCCCTAACTCGTACTATCATTAAAAGAATGATCCACTGAATTAGATCTATAAAGGTTTCCGCTATCATAGCTTTCTAATCATTAGCCATCCTCTCCTGGCATATATTTACTTCCCACAATCACTGATGCTTGAGCTTTTCCAAGACAGTTCCAGCCATCTCTACAGGACTAAGAGGTTTTAATAGCTTATCAGAATGTTGTTATTATTATATGTTAAAATATACACTGTTGAAACTGGTTCATTAAAATAATTACATGAAACTCTAGAAAAATATTTGGTTTTCAACAGCTTAGATGTCTTTGAAAACATTAAATACTCACTGTATTCTATAATTCCTTAACTGTGGACAACCTTAAAAGCATCTCATATCTTTTGGGCATATATTATTGTACAGTTGACTTAGTATAAATTATGAGCTAAACAGAACATATTCATACGTACTTGAAACCACACTGACATTTTGGCAACTGAATAGTTTCTTACCTTAAAAACAGGTGCCTCATGTTGTCCTTCACTCACTTCAGGCTTATAATGAACCTAACTAACAATGATGAAACATTTTCCAGATGAACAAGCTGGTCAATGCATTATCAAGGTGCTTGACTCATCTTTGTTTACATTCAAATCTGTAATGTAAAAACCGCTGTGTAAATAACCAGTTCTCTTCTATTGTAGTATATAATACGATTAACAGTATAAAGTATATCACAGCTTCCTTCAGTGATTTCATCCTTACAGGATGCTTAGCTGTGTAATGACATTGCTTATAGTGTGTAGTTATATCACAATAATGAGGGAGGCAAGACCACCTTATATTAGTCACATAAGAAATTCACTATTTAAATTACTACAAAAAGTCTTGCCTTATTTAAAACAAATATTTTCACTTAAAACAATGTAATATGTTATGATAAATCTGATAAAGTAGCATAAAGATAGTTTCAGTAGCCCGACCATCAGTGAATTTAGTATTGTCAAAGGTTTCTTCACTTGCCTGTTTCAAACTGGAAGCTTACATGTTTATCATTTCTACACACATATAAGCCTTGAAACAGCCATTAGTGTGGGTTATCTGAGGAATTAAAATCCCTTTTAAATCACAAGTGCTAAAATATATTTTTGATTATAATAAAAAAACATTTGCTAGACACAAATCATATATTATACGAAAGGTCTATATTTTGGTGAGCAGGTCTGTAATTAAAATTGAGAACATTTCTGAGATCTGGTATTTTGAAATATTTGTATTAATTCTAAAACTACAGAAATTGTTTATGTTGGTGATGATATGAGCTGCTAAATATAGCAATAATTTTAAAAAGATTTATCTCTTGCTCTTTTTGGGGTATTGTTGGTTGTAGCTATTTGTTTGCCCCCAAATTAATGACCAGCTGGCTGGAAGTTTTAGGAAATTATTTGCTGACCTCTTCAAATTTTTCTGCTTATTTTTTGACCATTCCATAGTATGTTTTTAGGAATGGTTTGCGAAGTCACTCCCAACCAGCAGCACATCCAAATGCAAAATGATTGCAAATTAAAACAAAAGTACCGATGTTTAGTTCCCTAGAATGATTTATGTCCTGATCCTGTGAGGGGCTTGCAAGATGATGAATTGCTGGAAGTTGCTCAGCACCTCACAGAACTGGGCCATCTATAATCAACAGGTAATATCTACAGCACATTGGATGCTGCTTTCTCAGTAAAAATAGAACTAAGCTCTGGCAGTTGTGGGTTTACCCAAACAGTCTTGCAATTGAACTGTACAAATGGATGAACCCTAAAATATAAGTAAAGATATTTTTACCTTCAAAGTGATGAAATTCACCCCGTGTAGAAAACCAGCATAGGGCTGCTACACCACTTAATCCAATTACTCTGTATTTTGGAGGCTTAAGTGGTGCATAGGCCCCCTGAATATGGGTGATTTTCATTCTTTAAGGCCCCATTCTTGCAACGTGTTACACATGGATAGACCTCGGCTTTCGAGCTGAGCCTCAGTGAAGCCAATGGACCCCCAGGCATGAGCAGGGATACACCCATGTGCAACACATTGTAGGATCAATGGTTAAATGAGTCTCAATTTGCCCTATGAAAATTCTTTTTTTATGTATGATCCTGGCTGTGCTAACAATCAATCTGTCACTGTGTGTCGTCATATCCTGAATAACACTATTGCAGTGTTTGATACAGTCATTTTATTGGTGATGATTTTCATTGAAAGCTTTATATAACAAAAGTATAGCACTGTTTTCTTATAACTAGCACAGAAATTATTAACACATTAATATAAGTTAGTGTTTATTGTATATAAACAGTGATTGTTTGCAGCTATGTACATTAATTTTGAATAATTTATTTATAATGCTCATCACAATATTTCTTTCTCTCCACTTTGCTACTAGTGGAACAACACGGAAAAACAGCAAATGTGTTATTTTATATGGACATCTGAGCAACAACAAAGCTGGTATTTGGCTTTTCTTTACCTTATGTTTCAGAAGATTATCTTTCAATAATCCACAATAATCTATTCTACTGTACTCAGTTTCTGTAGTAACAAATAACCCATCCTGCTACGACCAGTCTGTACTGCACCTTTGGATTGCTTTTTGGATTACTTTTGCAATGTTGTCATTGATTAGCTTCAAAAAGAATTATGCCACAAAGGAATTCATTGGTCCATTGAAACTGCACAGCAAACAACATAAATACAATAAGCACACACAGTCTCAATGTAAAAAGCCTAGAACCCTAGCATTCAAAGTAGCTTGTTTCTAAAGCAGTAGTAATGTAAAATAACAGATATTCTCTAATCCCTTTCCAATATGTGCACTTTCTTTCTGTTTATAATTAATAATTCCCAGCACTTTAAAAGAATTAAGATTTGCTACTGTCTGCCCTTTGCTGATTGAGGCTTTAGACTGGATATGTGCCAGTTAATATAAACTTGCTTGCCAATTCAGAACCTGTAGAAAAACAGAGTAGTCGTGGCTTCATACGCCATGTTCTGTAGCTCAAATTTTTGCCTAATTTAAATGAGAACCCCATTATGTGATTCAGTTTTTTTTCAATTATAAGAAAAAAAAAAACTACCTCAATACCTTGTATGTTTCTGGGAAGTTCTAATTACATAACAAAGAGTGAAACTTGCCCACAGTATACACCTCTTAGATTCTATTCTAGAAGAAAGAAAGGAAAGGTGAAAGGAAGAGGTGCATAGGTTAAAACTAATCTGGGATTACTTTAATACACATTGGCCACCCAAAACAGCCATATTACTGAATACTGACCATAATATTTATGATACATTATGTATAACATGCCTACAAACAAATTATTCCAATATATTAAACAATATTAAAGATAAAAGACTAGCTCCTCAGCTAATGTAAATCAGCATAGCCCCACTGATTTATAGCAGCTGAGGATCTGGCAGTATTTACTTTCATACATGTACAGGACACCTATCATACCATTACACTAGCTACGTTTCTCTCTTAATTTTAAAGAGTCCATCACTGTCAGCTATCCAGGTCTATACCAAGGTTGTGGAGGAATGTGAAATTGCCTGCCAAATCTCTGCAAAAT